GAAGGAAGGAAGGAAGGAAGGAAGGAAGGAAGGAAGGAAGGAAGGAGGGAAGGAAGGAAGGAAGGAAAGAAAAATCAATGTCACTAGTTTGTATTAATTTGACAAACCAAAGTCTCAGAGAAACCTGCCTGTGTCACAACTAAGCAGCCTCCACCTCGCATGTCACAGTTCCACAAGACTCAAATTAGTTTCTTGACTACAAACATAAAAAGGATGTGACACAGTCCATTCTGAAACTCAAGAGCTACATTTTCAATTAAATCAATTACCAAAACCCAAAACACTAGTCAAAACCGTGCTGCTTGCTGTCATTTACAGTAAGAGCAAACCATTGTGGAAATGTGTCACTCAGGTGCAGAGAGAATGTCAGCACACAGCTCCACACTGCTCCCAACATGGCAGAAAACGGGCTGTTGGAGTGCTGCCTCCCTCCCGATGTCTGGTATGTAGTTATACAACACTGATGTTTCTCTAAAACGTGGAATTTTATATCCCAAACAGATGTAAGCTGTTATTCTAAAATGTTTTATAGATGAAGAAAATGAATAGCTGCTCTCAGAGGCCTCCATTCTAAATCACAACATACCCATTTTATTGCATCAAAAGTTACAAAACGGCTCACTGTTGTGACCTGTTTAATGCCTTCATTTAAGATATTTTGTTTGAGTAAGGTTGTTATGACCCAGGGCACTAATAAGCGAGTGGCAATAAACCCAGCTACCATCAAAGCAGCAGACGTAGGGGAAACCCTACTACAATTCAACATGGATTCCACTTAGCAACAAACAGCAACAGAATGTATGTGAGGACTCCAGGTGTTGTAGACAAAACAAAACCAGGGTGTTGGTTTCAGCATAAGAATGTCTTTACTTATCTTGAGGTATTGGAATGCAATTATGCTTGAAATCAATAAATGTTTCTAACCTTATGATCTTAAAACAAATAACCTTATAGTATCTTAATGAACAGGTTTATAGCTGAGGGGCTATGAAAATACAATTTCTAAGGTACTGTTTACCTGTAATAATTCTATTATTCAATGGAATAATCATATAACAATGTCAATATTTTCTTTTAAATAAGTTTAGATTGTAGGCTACAAAGACTACAGTGCCTAAACTGTGAGTGACCTAGGACACCTAATGCAAAGACATTATACTGTGAATGTTATTACATTTGGCAGAAATGACTAACAACTCTGTTTAAAGACTCAAAGAAATTATACAAGGACTCAAATTAGAAGGTATGATCATTAATCTTGAGTGTTGGCTTGGTGGGATCTAGAAACACTACAGAAACAAATCTCAGGTCATATCTATGAGGGCTTATCTAGATTAGGTTAACTGGAGTAGGAAGACCCGTCCTAAACGATGGTACCATTCCACAGGCTGGGGGTCCTGGGCTGAAGAAAAAGGAACAGGCAAGTAGGGCACAAGCTTTCTTTGCTGTCTGCTTCCTGACTGTGGACACGATATGACCAGCTGTCTCCAGTTCCTGCTGGCATGCCCTCCCTGCCATGATGGACTGTATGCACTCAAACAGAGCCAAGGACCTTCCTTGCTCAAGTTGCTTTGGTCAAGGATTTCATAGCAGCAACAAAACAAGTAACTAACACAAGAGGTTTGAAACCAGCTTGTTAGTGGTAAGCTTGCCATGGATACAGGAGTCCCATTCTCATGGAATCCTACAAGGCAGATCTCTCTTCTGCTGCATGATAACTTCCAAATTAGTGTACTTCATTTAGGGTTTTCCAGTCTAGTGTCCCACAGATAACACAGCCATTCTTTTGATATTACTGCTGAAAAGTGAGGTCAAACAGAGCGCCACCCACTGGAAGGGATGCAGGGAAACAGAGGGCCACCCAACACAAGGGGCACAGAAAACAGAGGGGCTACCCAATGAAAGGAGCCCTGGTGAAGACTGACAGTTCTACCCACAGGAAAAGGCAACAGCTCCCTCAAGTCCAGTTGTGAGTTCTGATGAGACAGTGATTCCTTGGTCCATTTTGTCAATTCGCCTGTCTCAGAGGGCTGTGGCTGGGCACCATCTTCAGCGGAAACCTATTATTTAAGACTCAGCTACCCTGGGGGCCTGATGATAAGGAGCAATCACATACAAGTCAGCCTGGATTCCACCCACCATAACACCTGGGTAGAAGACTGGAAACCCTTGGTTTAGACATTAGGCACCCCAAGGTGTAAAAAGTGTCTCTGGAGCAAGTGGAAACTTGCTAAAGCTACAGGTGGTCAGAAGTGGCTCCCTGTATTCAAGGAAGGGACGTCTCTAACCTGACTGCAGTTCTGTTAAGTACCAGACCCTTGACCATTCTGGATTCAGCACCAGCTTGAACAGTAGGAAAAGGAAGTCTCCACCTTCACCTGACCACTCCTTCCTCCTGAAGCCTGAGGTTAGAGAACCAAGAGTGCTGCACCAATACACTGGGTTTCCTCTTGGGGCTTTTAAAATTGTTTTGGTTTGTTTTTGTTTTGTACTTCATGTTTACTCTTTTGCTGTACTCCATTATTTTTATTTTATCTAAAAGATGTAGCTAAAAGATTTTTTTATTCCTCTCTTACATGTAACTTTGCCTCCAGGTTTGTTATTAGCATGACTTTTCTAACTTCCCCTCTTCCCACCTGCCTTCCTAACATTCTCATCCTGTTGTCTGCCTGCTTCTATTTTTAGCTCGAGTCACCTTTTCTTTTCTAAAAAAAAATCAAAGAAGCAGGACTCCCACAGAAGATTGTAACTCCTTTATTACTGAATCCAAAGATACTGGAATGGGCAAAGGGCCAGACAAAATTGGGAGAAAAAGCAAAACAAGACAAATGGAAACACTGGAAATGGAAAGCTCAGTGAACCAACTAAGAAACGGTGGACAGCACCACCAATCATTAGCCCATGTAGAGGGAAAAGTATCAGTGATGGAGGACAAGTTTGGAGAACAAACAGCTATGGTTAGGCATCAGTTAAAACAAACAAACATGACCACAGCATCCAAGAACCCCAGATGAGATGGAAAGACCAAGCCTAAGAATCCACAGGAGAGAGGAGTGAGATCAACACTGAAGGCATTAAGAATCTATAATGTGAGAGAGGCGTGTGGCACACACCTTTGTTCCCAGCATTCAGGAGGTAGAGGCTGGCAGATGGCTGTGAGATCGAATCCAACTGGTCTACATAGTGAGTTCTAAGCTTGGGAGGGGAGGGGGAGGGGAGGATACACATACACATACAGAGAGAGAGAGAGAGAGAGAGAGAGAGAGAGAGATCTACAATGTAAAAGCAGAACACAGAAGAATTTATTCTTGTGCCTGAGGTTAAAGACTGAACCCAGAGCCTCACGAATGTTCAACATGTGTTCTAACAATGAGCCATCCACCCAAGTCATCTTAATTTTTGTTT